GCTTGGCGAATCTTCTCCACTTTAACACTTATATGTTCATGAATTTGAAGGCTGCATTTCTTGTTGAATAGTGGACTCCTCCCTGTAATTTCACACGAACCCTTTCAGAATCCTCTTGATTTTTCCTGAATTGAGATTTTTCTCCAGAGAGCCGTAGCTGAAGCGCGCGCAACCAACTGGGCCCACTCTGGGATGCGCCGTGTGCTTCACATCCCTTCAGATTTGAGGACTCACTTGAAAGATAAAATATCCCTTGGAAACGTGCGAATTTCGGATTCTTCAACTTGTGTGGTGATGAAACACTGAAGTAACTAAGAATTACTACGCGGACCCCTTTAAATCACGCAAATTTTACGGGCGGAATAACATTGTTACTGGAAATCCTCTGGCCTTCCACATTCAATGCTTCATGTTTGTATTCCGACACTGATGATCCTCATCGATCCGGCCCGACCTCTTTCTCCCATCAAGCCAATTCGACCCTACCCCTGTCGACCTGCTCTCTGCCCAGGGCCAAGCGTGTGGTGAGGATTCCTCACCGCACGCTTGACCCTGGGCAGAGAGCGCATTCAGAACTTGCGCCAAACTCGTGAATAGAGGAACGACAGAGGCGCTAATTGAGCTACATTTAGTGCTTTGTAGAAATGTATTTTAATTGCGCCATCGGAAATGAGTTCCACATGACTTTTTGCTGATGGTTCGTTCCACTAGCTCGGCGCAACACGTGAATACGTGGGCAAAAATTGCTAGCAATCTGTCCAAGGCACTGGTCGGATCTAAGAAGTTAGCTCAAACTAAATTATTTTCACGCTCAGAATTCAGGAGTGAGCAATCCACAAATCTTATGTTTTTTTAAACCTACAAAACATATTCATTCAGATAAAAGCCCTTCGCAACCGTACACACTTTGGATGCAATGGCATTATCAGGAAGAACTTCACAAAAGGACATGATAGGATGGAAATCATATGTTTATATAGGACTGGAAACAATTTAGAAATAATTAACCATAAGCGAGAATGATGCTCAAGCAGCTCAATGAATGGTTGAATCCAGGACTGGTTGGTTTTCGACGATGTTCGGCCGAGCAGTATAGATAGTGTTGACACGTTACCTCAGTAGCTTTTAACTGCTCAACCAC